CGGTCAACCTGCTAGAGCTGCCCCGGTCACCCTGCTAGAGCTGCCCCGGTCACCCTGCTAGAGCTGCCCCGGTCAACCGTAAGTGCTGTTATTGTGAAGTGGAAAACTTCTAGGCGCAACAACGGCTAAGCCTCGAAGTGGTAGGCCTCACAAGCTCACAGAACGGGACCGCCGGATGCTGAAGCTCGTAAAGAATGATCTGTCCTCGGTTGCAACACTCACTACAGAGTTCCAAACTACCTCTGGAAGCAACGTCAGCATAAGAACTGTTCGTCGGGAGATCCATGAAATGGGTTTCCATGGCCGAGCAGCCGCACACAAGCCTAAGATCACCATGTGCAATGCCAAGCGTCGGCTGGAGTGGTGTAAAGCTCACCGCCATTGGACTCAGTGAAAACGCGTTCTCTGGAGTGATGAATCACGCTTCACCATCTGGCAGTCCGACAGACTAATCTGGGTTTGGCAGATGCCAGGAGAACGCTACCTGCCCCAATGCATAGTGCCAACTGTAAAGTTTGGTGGAGATAGAATAATGGTCTGGGGCTGTTTTTCATGGTTCGGGCTAGGCCCCTTAGTTCCAGTGAAGGGAAATCTTAATTCTACAGCATACAAAGACATTCTAGATGATTCTGAGCTTCCAACTTTGTGGCAACAGTTTGGGGAAGACTCTTTCCTGTTTCTGCATGACAATGCCCCAGTGCACAAAGCGAGGTCCACACAAATGGTTTGTCAAGATCGCTGTCGAAGAACTCGGAAAAGCCCTGACCTCAACCCCAACGAACACCTTTGGGATTAATTGGAACGCCGACTGCAAGCCAGGCCTAATCGCCCAACATCAGTGCCCGACCTGAATGGAAGAAAGTCCCCGCAGCAATGTTCCAACATCTAGTGGAAAGTCTTCCAAGAAGAGTGGGGACCAACTCCATATTAATGCCCATCATTTCGGAATGAGATGTTCGACGAGCAGGTGTCCACATACTTTTGGTCATGTAGTGTACCTAATTTACTACTACTACGAGCAGGTGTCCACATACTTTTGGTCATGTAGTGAACCTAATTTACTATTACGAGCAGGTGTCCACATATTTTTGGTCATGTAGTGAACCTAATTTACTACTACTACGAGCAGGTGTCCACATACTTTTGGTCATGTAGTGAACCTAATTTACTACTACTACGAGCAGGTGTCCACATACTTTTGGTCATGTAGTGAACCTAATTTACTACTACTACGAGCAGGTGTCCACATACTTTTGGCCATGTAGTGTACCTACCAGCTCTCTACAAAGTCGGGTAAACAATACTTTCCTACGGATATTTTGTCTCAAATTTCGAGAAGCTAAAGAACAAAAATCACACAGACAACCGGTAGAGTAAGTTTAAATGTAATTTAATTGCACATTCTGGCTTGTAAGGAACATTTACGACTGCAGGCATTCGTTTCAGGCTGTAGTTATACACACACAAATACACACATTAATTGCGTATTACAGCCTGATTAAGCAGACTAACTACCGGCTATCAACAGCACACTTTCACCCACATCATACTCACGCAATACCTTTATTGCCATTTGACAACCGATACAAATGTAATAAAATCAAGACATTCAGCTTGATGACAAGGCAGCGCCAGTAGGCTAACGTTAGATAGCTAGCAAGCTAACACGGGTAGACAGCTAACAGCAGCTAGCTAGTTTTTTACTAACGTTACACCTGGTTTGTTCTACCAACCTGTACAATTTGATTGTCCATATCTTCTTCCAATACTCCTCCGTTTCCAGACGAACTCATTGTTGTGCCTGTTTTACCAGTGCATGTCTAGCTAGCTTCATGTGACAGCCGAGTTAGCTGGGGACTACAGGAAGTGTTAGCTGGGACTACAGGAAGTGTCAGCTGGGACTACAGGAAGTAAAACGCTCGTCACTTGCTGTGTTTCATAATAATAATAAATAATAAGCCATTTAGCAGACGCTTTTATAAGGGAGATAACCACTACAGTTGGTCATGATATTACCTTCAGATTACTTTGCGGGAAGGTAACGTCATGACATTACCACTAATTACATTTACATTTTAGTCATTTAGCAGACTCTCTTATCCAGAGTGCATACATTATTTTTTCATACTGGCCCCCCGTGGGAATCGAACCCACAACCCTGGCGTTGCAAACGCCATGCCCTACCAACTGAGCTACATCCCTGCCGGACATTCCCTCCCCTACCCTGGACGACGCTGGGCCAAATTGTGCGCCGCCCCATGGGTCTCCCGGTCGCGCCCGGTTACGACAGAGCGACACGACCAATCCATTGTGTCGTGGTTGGTCGTGGTTACGAAACGTGTTTGCTGGGAGCCATTTCATTTCAGAAACCAGGCTTCCGTCCAACACGTTTATGCCTGGAAAGTACGTCGGATAAAAACAGCACATTTTATCGGTAAACTTTCCAAATTTCAACAAAACATACGCTAGACAAGGTGGTAAAGTGTATTGTGCGAGATATGGCGGTGGATTGATATAATAACCCGTATATCAAAGTACATTTGGAGTCACGCAATGATTTGTGTAGTCCGCGTCCTCCCCACTACGATTTGAGAAAGCGTGCAGTTTATTAGGCAACGGTCAAATGAAATAAATTAAACTTCGCAGGGTGGTTAAAGTGCACGGCGATGAGCTTGATGCTGCTTTCCAATAAATATCGAGGGGTCTTATTCTGGTGACATGATCGATGCTTGGTTGCCGTTTGACAAATGCAAATAATCTCGCTCTTTCGACCATAATAATCTCATGCAGGCTTTATCTGCGATCTGTTGGCTAGACTGCAAGTGTCAAGACCAGAGGGCGCACATTCGCTATCCAACGCAACAGGATTTGTGGCCAAAGCGCCAGTAAACCCATTTAACTTGTATATTTTAGTCGGTACATGGGAATTTAACCGCAAAAGTTATTTTTTATGTGCATTATGTCATCACGCATCACCCCTTTTATCAGCAACAAGTCAATTTGATGGAAACATCCGGTGGGGAAAACGCGCATATTGTTTTTATGCAGATTTTAGAATATTCGCTTGAAAGGTTTCCATCCAATTGGCGATAGATTCCAATTGAATATTCTCAAAACTGCATAAAAGAAATATGGGCATTTTTCACCAAACTGACTTGTAGATAAAAAATAAATAAATCAGTGCGTGATGACTTAGTGCACACAAAATGTACATTTTAAAGTTACGTACCTAATCAATGTGTTTCCATTGCATTGTCAACTAACAGTGGTCACAAAAGCCGTTGCTTTAAATAGCCAGTGTGCCTAGTCCGCTTTTGGCATGTGGGCTCTGGCCAACAGCATGAGACGATGATAAAACCAGAATAATGTCACACGGCGGTCATCATGTTGTAGCGGTCTTTATAGGGACCACAGAAGAACCAAGCAATGAAGACCAACACCACGGCTTTTATGTAGCGCTGCAACGGTATTATGAAAAGACAGGACAGGAATACATCAGACAAGTTGTTCTCTCGGACTCATGAGAACAGGCGCTGCAGGTACCAGGGTGTCGGTGGGTGTCGGTAGCACCGGGATGAAATATAAAACCGACGTTAATATCATCCAGCTACTGTAACTGCCTCCTTAACGATCAACAGGCAGCACTTTTATAGCAACAAATTAAAATATAAACCAAATTAAAAGTTCCTGGCGACCATAGCGATCTGATTCCCCCCCCTTCTGTCTGAACATTCCTGTTCTCGGGTTTGGGCCACTGACCCTTAGCCTGGATGTTCTGTTCTGCGTTGTGTACTTCGTGTAATCATTAGAAGTTTGATGGAATAACCATTTTTCACTCTTACAGTCTCCCCGATATTTATTGGACAGGAGCGTCAAGCTCGTCACCATGCAATTTCACCATTTATTTCGTCTGTGTTCTAATAAACGGACTCGTTTCCCGAGTCATAGTGGGAGGACCACAACACATCATGACTCCAACCCAGATAACAAAAAAAAAGAACATCTCCCAGTTTGCCATTTTCCGCTGGCGCGATGCACAAGGTTATACATTTATACCGCCAGCGGGCGAGTGGAGTTGACCGTTCAAGACATGATTTGCAATTCGAAATGGCTGTTATATAAATACTGGCGTATATATTTTTTAAAAAAGGTTCCCACCGCCAATTCTCACAATTTTTGCAGACACAAAAAGACGGCACCACGTCAGTCTTTCTAGGAACCAGCCAGTAGTGGGATCAACACCATACATGAAGGCAGAGAACAGAAGTATTTCATTAGACATGTGAACTTTATTGGTTTTGTGTTGGTCAGTGTCCACAACAGGAGCCACCCGCCCCACCCCTCCCAGAGAGAGGGGAACACCTTCACTCTCATTAGAAAAAAGGTCAAAACTGTCGTTTTTATTTTATTTTTATTTGCATAACATAAACAAACTGGACCATGTATCTATAAGGCTGAAAGTACAAAAACAATAAAGTTTTTAATATTGATCATTTACATATTAAGCATTTCCCCTCCCCCTTCAACACTATCACACCTAGAGCCCAGAGTTAGTGTCCCAAAAGCCACCCTATCCCTAGGTAATGCACTAGATCCCTCAAGGGCCCTGGTCAATGGCAGTGCAGTAGGTAGGGGGGGGAGGGTGGACAGCAACACCTCTATAGAGGTCAATAAGGTGGTGGAACAGGAAACATTAGACGGGAACTAACAGGACGTCTGGAGTCACGACCATAAACACGGCTGCCGTCAGACACGGCACGGCGTCGCGTTCTGTCCATCAGGCCCAAAAAAAAAAAATCAGGAGGCTCTCAAGACAAGACTGACAGCAGGAGAAGACATGCCAGTGGAGAGAGGTGGTCCGAAAGGAGCTCTGCAGCGCAACACGGCGACCAGGGGACTGACAGGGTCGAGCCAGAGTCTTAAATTGGAATGGGAAGGAGACAAGAGTCTGTACGGTGGGTTTGGGAAGGAGACAAGAGTCTGTACGGTGGGGGTTTGGTTTAGAAGCATTTGCGGTGGACGATGGAGGGGCCAGACTCGTCGTACTCCTGCTTGCTGATCCACATCTGCTGGAAGGTGGAGAGAGAAGCCAGGATGGAGCCTCCGATCCACACAGAGTACTTACGCTCTGGAGGGGCGATGATCTGGAGGAGAGAGACAGAGAGGGTTAGATTAACACGAGTACAGATGTTCAGACTGCAGTTGTAGCAACCGGACCACAACAGGCCAACTGTTCTCCAGGTCAGTTAGTAACGCTGCTAACTACAGGAAGCAGACCAACACTAGTTCAGAGATAGTCACCTTGATCTTCATGGTGGAGGGGGCCAGAGAGGTGATCTCCTTCTGCATCCGGTCAGCGATGCCGGGGTACATGGTGGTTCCTCCAGAGAGCACCGTGTTGGCGTACAGGTCCTTACGGATGTCAACGTCGCACTTCATGATGGAGTTGAAGGTCGTCTCATGGATGCCGCAAGACTCCATACCTGGAGAGAGAGAGAGGAGACAACACGGCCGTCACGACGGGGCTCGCAAACGCAACACGGCTGCCAGACAGGACAGACCAACACGGACCAGCTGTTCCACAGGAGGAGGTTGGTTAGACTCACCGAGGAAGGAGGGCTGGAAGAGGGCCTCTGGGCAGCGGAACCTCTCGTTGCCGATGGTGATGACCTGTCCGTCGGGAAGCTCGTAGCTCTTCTCCAGAGAGGAGGAGGAGGCGGCGGTGCCCATCTCCTGCTCGAAGTCCAGCGCCACGTAGCACAGCTTCTCCTTGATGTCGCGCACGATCTCCCTCTCGGCCGTGGTGGTGAAGCTGTAGCCTCGCTCCGTCAGGATCTTCATGAGGTAGTCCGTGAGGTCGCGTCCGGCCAGGTCCAGACGCAGGATGGCGTGGGGCAGGGCGTAGCCCTCGTAGATGGGCACCGTGTGGGTCACGCCGTCGCCGGAGTCCATGGAGATACCTGGTACCCGGGGGCGTCGGA